TTGGGTTGAATCTAAACAAATCAGGTGTTATCTAACACAGTGTCTTAGTAAATGAGGTCTTAACAAGACCCTTAGGGTTTCATTGCTGTGAAGAGACATCATCTCCATGGTAACTCTTATAAAGCAGAATGTTTAAGTGGGACTGGCTAATAGTTCGGAACTTTAGTCCATCATTGTCATGGCAGAAAGTATGGTGGTGCAGAGGCAGACACGGTGATGGAGAGGTAGCTGTGTTCTATATCTGGATCAGTAGGCAGCAGGAAGAAGGAGACAAACGGGGTCTGCTTGAGCATCTGAGACTTCAAAGCCCAAGTGACACACTTCCTCCAACAAGTCCCCATTGCAAACCACCACAAACAGTAATAGAAAATGAGCAAGCTTTTGACTGTTAGAAGTCAAGGATTTGCAGCTGAGACTGTAGCTCAGTGGTAGAGCACAAACTTGGTGTGCAGAAAAGCAAAGTTTTAATCACTAATGCTGAATTTCTAAATTTATATATGGAAGGGACATATTTCTCTCTGCTAAACTTCCTATCAGCTATAAGAATGCTTGTATTTTATAATTAAGCTGTTCAAAGATATTTAGTTACTGTTCTGAAAGGTGATCATGCATGTTTGCTTACTCATTTTCTATTATATAGTGCACTGCTTGCCTGGGCTTTATCATCAGGCAGATAGCTGTCTAATAAGTGTGGAAGGTGGAAAGATTTCTTCCCAAATGAGGGACATTGTTTGCTCGGTGGGGCCTTATTTCTATCAAATGAATCCACCCGACAAAAGGGGTTTTGTGCAAAAGCAAAGAAGTCCATTGAAAATGACTGACACAATTGGAATGACTCAGGAAAATAAGACTCAGTAGACAAGAAGAAAAATGTATAAAGTGCAAAGTATTGCTGCTTTCACACCAATCGCATGATGGGCAATTAGGGAACGATCTGGGATGGAGATGCGAGATAGGGGTATTATGAACACAAAACAACAACAGCCTCAGTCTACACAGGTCTGAAAGCTTGTCATTGGCTTCAGGTAACACCGTTTTCCTTCACAGGAAGATGAAGGAATCAATAAACTGTGCCATTGTTTATTCCATCAGCAAATTTGAAGTGCCCACTTATGGGACACTGTTCTTAGCGATAAATATTTTCAGGGAGGGGCTGGAGAGTTGGTGCAGAAGTTAAGAGCACTTGCTCTTACAGACGACATGGGTATGTTTCTCTGCTCCTAAAGACAGTTCACAACCATCTGTAACTCCAGTCCCAGGGGATCGATCTTATGGCATCTTCTGTTCTTCTCAGGCACCAGAATGCATACGGTGCACATACACACATACAGGCAAAACACCCATCCACATAATATAATTATAATAAAAATAATAAATAAATATAAAAAAGGTATTTAAGGAACTGCTAGATGCAAATAATGGAGGCTACTGTCTTGGTTGATTTGTGTACTAAATGGCACAGAAGCAAATAAGACTTTAATGAAGTCTTAAAGTTTGAGGTTTCTTTATCCACTACAAAAATGTGAGTAGAAATTGATGTTAATCCATCAGCTTTCCCTCTGTCTGCGTCCTTGTTGCTACCTTGCCAAACCCATCGTCCTGCACTGCTCTGGGTAGGGGGGAATTCACCCATGCTATTTCTCAGTATCAAGCCTGCCCTGATTCATCACAATCAAAAGCCAATTAGACCTGTAATTCTTTGTAATTTTGTATTTTGACAGAATAAGCCGACAAAATTCCTGCCTTTTTGGGTTTCATATTGTAGTAGGTGACAATGAACAAGATTATTTAATGAGGTATGCAGTATATTCAATGTTAGATCGAATGCTGCAAATAAAGAGAAAAATCAGTGGAATAGGAAGAATGGTGTTTGAGTTGTGGTGGGGGAGGTATTGTTTTTAGATAGAATTTCACAAAAAGGCCTTCGCACTTGCAGGCTTTGAGCTGAATCATCTGTTGGTGGATCTACTGGTCAATGTACCGAAGACTGACTTTTGCAGTTGGGATGAAGTGGTGTATATTGAAGGTAGGACACAGACTACCTTTTATGATTAGATAAGTGCCTGTGCTACTTCTGAGTGTGAATGGAGTTGCAGGTGGAGGAGCTCAGGGCTCCTGAACTTGAATATGCTGATGACTGCTCACACTGTGTGTAGGATGCTGTCAACAGTCAGCACCATGTTCAGATCAACTTTGTTATTTCTTCCCCTTAGGGCCTCTAGCAGCCAAACAACTTTCATTTTCTGAAGACTCTTTATCTTCACGTAAAGACAACTTTTATTTGTTACATACTTCTTTTCCTCTCCATCTCACAACTCTGCTGCTATTCCCCCACAGTCCCCTTCAAATTCTTGCTTGTCCTCTTATGTGGGACTTATGTATAAGCTGGTCATCTGTCCTTTCTTCAAGTCTCATACATTGTGGGTTTTCCATGTGTGGATGTTCAGTATTTATGTTTTTTCTCTTCTTAATCTCTTGTTTATCACTCTTGTGACCAGATGCTGAAGCTTGTAGAAAGAACCCATTATTGCTCCTGTATAGGGTAGCCATGAGGCCTTATCTGCCTCCCTGATGCCCAAATGGAGATGACAAGTAGATGGCTGAATATATGAATGTGACCCTCAGGAGAGAGTTTGGATTCACCCGACTTTGTAACATTTAGATAGTGTGTCAGGCACAAGAATGGGCAAGGTCACAAGGGAGAGACTAAGATGAGTACTTTGGGGTCTGTAGTGTCTTAGTGATGAGGAGATGAGGAAAATCTGTGACAGGAGACTGAGACTGGGTGGTTCAAGAAAGAAGTCATTGTATGTGATGTCCATGGAGGGAAGAAACTGTTTCAAGACCGAGACTGGGTGATCCAAGAAAGAAGTCATTAGTATGTGATGTCCTTGGAGGAAAGAAACTTTTTCAAGATGTTAGGGACATCTGTAGTAGGTCACACCAGAGCTTGCATGCCTTGTTGCAGAAAAAAAGGGCACACAGGGAAAAGGACAGTAATAATTTCCTAACATCACACACTGTAGTAAGTTTGAAATTTAAAAACCTTGTTTGTCCTTAATGCAAGTTTTTGGGAGGAAAACAATTAGTCCACTTACACGTGACGCCAGTTGTATTTAGAATTCTATACGCTATCCTTGAACGTTTTTTGCTAATGAGGATCCCTACTCTAGTAAAACAAAGAGACAAAATGGAAAAGATTCAACTTAAGAATTTTTAAAGGTGCTTTTAGAAGTCACTGCACACCGGAATAGTAGACAGCTGCCTGTGTCACAGAACGCTTTTGGCTCTTCTTTGGCACTTGCCTTAATCACTTGTCATCATGCTCAAGGCTTCACTGAATTCTTTCTTTTCCCTCAGAAGATTCCCTGTGTTCTCCTAGTCAATCGAGTAGAGCTTCCAAGCTGATCTACCAAAGGCAGCATGCAAAGATGACGAAAGAAAGCAAATATTTGGCAGCTGGTCGTTTCTTAAAATCCCGTTATATTTAATGAAACATAAATAAACTTCATTTCAGTGGCAGAGATAGACTAAATCTACATTGAATCCTAAAGTAAAATGAAAACTACACTTTTCTTGTATTTAGATAAAAAGCTTTTACAAGTGCTTGTGATGTAACTTGAGAATCACCAAAATGGTTAGTATGTCTAAAGGGAAGATATCGGTTGTGTCTCTAACTTGAGGCGTCTACACCCGGGTTTGTCTCACTTTCTCTATAGGTCTTATTTTCTCCTCTCTCTTGGGAAGTACATAATTGTAAGGATGTATCCTGTTTTCTCCATGAGTGGCTCTTTCTCCCAACCTTCATGCTTAAACCTACATTAAAAGATCTTTTGTGTCAATGTGGTGGCTAAGCAGGTCACACGCATGTCACACAAGCCTGATGACCCGAGTTTGATTCCAAGAACTCATGTAAGGGGGAAGGAAAGAAATGACTCCACAAAGAGTTGTCCTCTAACCTCCACATATGCACCATGGCATGTAATACCCCTGCCCCATTAATAATAAATAAAATTCAAAACAAAACAACACGGCCTGCCAAAATACATCTTTAATAAAACCTCTAAATGTGCTTCAGGATAATTATGCCTAAAATTCTTCTCTGTGTGAACTCCACAAATCCAGGTTATCCTAAGTGAGGAGTCCTAAATGATTAGAAGAACTCCTCGGGCTGCTGATGGTGACAATGTGGAGTCACTGTCATTGTCCCTTATTGGTGACAATATGGCCATATCTTGCGGAAGAAGAAATCAAATTCCTAAGAGACAAGCATGTGCTAGAAATCACATTGCTCAGAGGAGGGAAGGCAGACCTTTTTACTCAGCTCTGTGGGCTTCTAATGCCCACTGGCTTCCTAGTTCGCATTGGGAATGTGTGCTAATTGAATATTGTGGCAGCTCCTGCGGTTACAGCTACTCCAGAGGCTGTGGCAGGTGGATTGCCTGAGCCTAGGAGCTTGGAGCTAGCTGGGGCATAATAGTGAGATCCCAGCTCAAACAATCATACATACATACATACATATTTGTGTATATACATATATGTGTGTGTGTGTACATACACATATGTATCAAACAGTTATACATACATATATACACATACATTTGATTTTACTCACATTGCTTAAAATGTATTTTCATGAAATACTATGCAATGCCAAAATAAAATGTTTACCCTCTAGTGTACTGTTGCACTTCTTTCTTTCTCTTTTATATTAAATTCTCAGGCAGACTATCCTGTCATTGACACTATCTTGTTATTGGGTTGGAGGAGCTCAGGAGGCCTCACCCTCCTTGAAGATTTATATAATTCATAATTATTGGGGGAGGCAGGCATTTCTTCAGTGGGGTAACCACTGGAAAGTTGTCAGTGCTTCTGTAAAACAGTCCATCACTCATGCTTCTTTGAAGTACTCCAGTGAAACTCATCACGTCATTAAAAAGAGAAAAAGAGAAAAGAAAAAGATTTGGTGGTAAAAGGGGAACCAGCTGAGAAGAGAAAGAGAAACAGCGAGAGTGGGCGGTGGACAAGAGGTGATAACGGGGGTGCACACCATCAGACTACATCAGCGAGGATCGGAGGTGGGCAAGAGGTGATAACGGGGGTGCACACCATCAGACTACAACAGCGAGGTTGGGAGGTGGACGAGAGGTGATAACGGGGGTGCACACCACTAGACTACATCAGCGAGGGTGGGAGGTAGACAAGAGGTGATAACGGGGTGCACACCATCAGACTACATCAGCGAGGGTGGGCGGTGGACAAGAGATGATAACGGGATCAGACTATATCATATACATATATGAAAGGCCCCATCGGAACCCATCACCTACAAATACTCTTAACATATACCAAATAGAAAAGCTGACAAAAATTGGAATAAATAAATTTTCAGGCAGGAAGCAAAAACAAGTGAAAGAGAGGGTTCACTGGCTTCCACACCTCACATGTGGGGCCTGGTGTTGGACTGTTTATGATTTCCTTCCTGTGCTCTGAGAGAGCAGCTAATTTTAGGTTTGTCTTTATGGCTAGAGGAAGTATGCTGTTTTGCTTGAGACAATGATCTAAGGAAAGAAAGTTCTACATTTTTTATATAATAAAAATTTTAAATTTATAAATAAAATAAAAACATGGTTCTACAAATTGCTACCTAGCTTTATGCTGTTTTGTTTATCATTTTTTCCTGTTATACAACTCAACCAGAATGTTCTCACTGTTTCGAATAAAAGTGTATCATTTAAAATCACATTCTTAATATTTGCTAAATGTGAATTATGAGAAGAGATAATAGCTTGCATTTCTGAACATAAGGGCAAACAGAATGTATCTTCAGAGCAGTTATGGGAATTCTACACATACAAGGTATAGAGTCGTTATCCTGAGTTAGGTTGAATATGAAATTGGTAAAATGGCTAAAAGAGCCCTAACATGAAATATCAATTGGAATTTAATGGTTAATCTTGCAGTGGGAAAAAGACATAGTGACACTCTGTCCAGCTCTCTGTAATTCATCTTAAATAGAATCAAACACAATCTATTCATGAATCTGAATTTAATTACTTTACATTAGTTTCATGCTTTTACCTCAGAGAGAGCCATGGTTTATTTTTAATCACTTCTTGTATGTTAAATCAATAGTGTCTGCCAAGTGGGTAACAGTTCCCTTTAAGGTGCAATCCTCTGTAATTGGTATAATTACCTCACACAGAGAGAAGCCACAGTAGGATTCCATATCTCCAGGTTTATAAAATCTAATTATGTTCACAATACAATATTTTATTTCCACTGCTCTCAGAGCCCAAATTTGAACAAAGCCCAGACAAACCACATAGCAACCGGAGAGCAGCGAGGTCGTGCTTCGTGCAGCTTGCCTCTGTCAGCAGTGTGAGGGAGGAGGAGCTCCTTTGCCCAGTCAAGGGAAAGTTAAGGATGCTCAGCATGGAGGTTCTGGGCTGGCCTACTTTATGTAAGATGAAGAATTCTGTTTAGTCCTGGGGTTCAGGCTTCTCCAGGCCAGACTCAGTGCACAGAAAGGGGAAGAGGTGCCCTGTCTGGGTTCTTCATGCTGCTTCAGAGGCAGCTGCAGGTAAGAGATAAAGGGAGGTCTCAAACAGGCCTCCAGAGGTTTCTCAGCAGGAAGTTTGCCTTCCTTGCCTTAACATGTTGAAATTCTGCAACTAATTGTGCCCGAGAAAGGGTAAAGTATTGAAGCACATTTGAATCCTCTTCTCTATGCAATCATGTGCAGCCGCTCTGTCCAAAAAAAAGGATGATTGAAAATACATGGAAAGAAGCTGGGAATGTATGGGGAGGTGTAACCCAACAACTCATGCAGCCCGTGCAGCCCGAGAGCCACAGCTTTATTGTGTCTTCTGTATTATTTCTAACTCCGGTTCAAAGATTCTACTCTAAGTAAAGTACATGGAGAGAGAGATAGATGGACATACAGACAGAGAGGTGGGCAGACAGACTGACAGAGAGATGGACAGTCAGTTAGTCTCTCTCTCTCTCTCTCTCTCTCTCTCTCTCACACACACACACACACACACACACACACACACACACACATCTACTCCAGGAAATGACCCCACTGAATTTCATCTTGTCTCCATTTTTTAAAACAAATCTTTTTATTGATTCTTTGGGAATTTCACATCATGCTTCCCAATTTCACTCATTTCCCAGTCTTTCCACACACACCTTCCACCCTTGTAACCTCCCCCCCACCAAAGAAAGCGAAAAACAAAAATTAAAAGAAAACAAAAACCAAACACACGCAAACCAAAACTATCTCACCTACCCCTGTGGACACAACCTGCTCTTCTATCAGCTGCAGCCTTTTCTCACTCCTGTCATAGTGGTCATGTCTCCAGTTTTGCTGTTCATGTACCGTTCTGCACCTCCATCTTTCCCACCACTCTGTCACATATTCATTTGTCAAAGTGGCGTTGGAAGCATGTGTCATGCAGTTCACTCTTTGCTCAGATAGCTTTACTTGCAAATGTTCATTGCAATGAGTTCAGGGTCTCTGACTTCTGCTACACCATCAGTACTGGATTTTCACTGAGACTCATCTGGATACCCTGCTGCTGTATTGAATCATAGGGATCCTGCAGCTATGGTTCCTAGAGCACATAGGGGTCCCTTCATGTGCTCCAGCAGCTCATAGATGGGGAAGATGTTGGGGTGGGCCAACTCAAATCCCTGAATCTGGGCCTGGGTGACAGCTGAGTTAGTAAGCCTTCCAGCTTTCCCTCACCAAAGCAATGGGGCCTGCTCTCCTATGGTGCCCAGGTGAGGGGCAGGGTGTGCCTCTGTTTTTTGCTCTTATGTAAGAAAGAAGAGTAAAGAGCGAGAAGGTTCTAGAACATAAAATAAATTATTCTTCTTACCAGCTATAGTAATGTACGGAGCAAGGTACTCCACTGTGTTTTAGCATTTTTCCCCTGACTCTTTCGTATTGCTATCTAGAGAACCACTTTCCTCTCACCTGTGTTAAACTAGCAAGCATACCTGGAGACTATTACTAAACTGTAAAATAAAATGGGGGTTTGGGTGAAGAAATGTCTCTTCCAAATTCCTCTTTGATATTTTTTATTTATGCATGTGTATGTTAGGGCATATATATATGCATGCAGGTGTTTGTTAAAGCCAGAAGAGGACTTTGGAGCTCTTGAGCTGAAGTTACAGGCAACTGTGGGCCCCCTAGTATGGGCACTGGAAACAAACTCCAATCACCTACAAGAGCAGTACTCTTTTTTTAAATTGATTTTTATTGAGCTCTACATTTTTTTCTTCTTCTCTCCCTTCCTCTCTCCTCCCCTTCAACCCTCTCCCAAGGTCCCCATGCTCCCAATTTACTCAGATTTTGCCTTTTCCTACTTCCCATGTAGATTTGATCTATGTGTGTTTCTCTTAGTGTCCTCATTGTTGTCTAAGTTCTCTGGTATTGTGATTTGTAGGCTGGTTTTCTTTGCTTTATGTTTAAAAACCACTTATAAGTGAGTCCATGTGATAATTGTATTTCTGTGTCTGGGTTACCTTATTCAAAATGTTTTCTAGCTCCATCAATTTTCCTGCAAAATTGAAGATGTCGTTATTTTTTTCTGCTGTGTAATACTCCATTGTGTAAATGTACCATATTTTCCTTATCCATTCTTTGGTTAAGGGGCATTTAGGTTGTTTCCAGGTTCTGGCTATGACAAACAATGCTGCTATGAACATAGTTGAGCACATGTTCTTGTGGCATGATTGAGCATCCTTTGGGTATATACCCAAAAGTGTTATTACTGAGTCTTGAGGAAGGTTGTTTCCTAATTTTCTGAGAAATCACCACACTGACATATAAAGGGGTTGTAACAGCTTGCATTCTCACCAGCAATGCAGAAGTGTTCCCCTTACCTCACAATCTCTCCAGCATAAGTTGTCATCAGTGTTTTTAATCTTGGCCATTCTTACAGGTGTAAGATGGAATCTCAGAGTTGTTTTGATTTACATTTCTCTGATGACTAAGGATGTTGAATATTTCCTTAAGTGTCTTTCAGCCATTTTAGATTCCTCTGTTGAGAGTTCTCTGTTTAGGTCAGTACTCCATTTTTTAAATTAGATTATTTGTTCTTTTGATGACCAATTTCATGAGTTCTTTGTATATTTTGGAGATCAGTCCTGTGTCTGATGTGGAGTTGGTGAAGATTTTTCCCATTTCGTAGTCTGTCGTTTTGTCTTGTTGACCATATCCTTTGCTTTATAGAAGCTTTCAGATTCAGCAGATCTCATTTATTAATTGTTTCTCTCAGTGTCTGTGCTGCTGGGGTTATACTTAGAAAGTGATCTCCTGTGCCAATGTGTTCAAGTGTACTTCTGACTTTCTTTTCTATAAGGTTCAGTGTGGCTGGCTTTATGTTGAGGTCTTTGATCTATTTGGACTTGAGTTTTATGCATGGTGATAGATATGGATTTATTTTCATTCTTCTACATGTTGATATCCAGTTATGCCAGCACCATTTTTAAAATATGCTTTCCTTTCTCCATTTGATAGTTTTGCTTCCTTGTCAAAAATCAGGTGTTCGAAGGTGTGTGGATTAATATTCGGGTCTTTGATTCGGTTCCATTGGTTGTTCTGTCTGTTCTTATGTTAATACCAGGCTGTTTTCAGTACTGTAGTTCTGTAGTAGAGTTTGAAGTCAGGGATTGTGATGCCTCCAGAAGTTGTTTTATTGTACAGGATTGTTTTGACTATCCTGGGTTTTTTGCTTTTCCATATGAAGCTGAGTACCATTCCTTCAAGGTCTGTGAAGAATTTTGTTGGGATTTTGATGGGCATTGATTGAATCTGTAGATTGTTTTTGGTAAGATTGCCATTTTTGCTATGTTAATTCTACCTACCCAAGAGCATGGGAAATCTTTCCACTTTCTGGTGTCTTCTTCAAGTTCTTTCTTCAAAGATTTAAAGTTCTTGTCATACAAGTCTTCCACTTGCTAAGGTACTGCCTGGGTTTATTCTGCCAGGTTACAGGGACCAACATAATGCCTGAATTCTAAAAATGGGGACATCCAAGCATGGACTACTGCTGGGGATCATGTCTGAGTCCGTGATCCTACCACAGCTTGGGTCTGTATTGATGCCTGTGGCTATGATGCCATCAAAGGTGACATGGATGCCTGGGGTCTAAGCGACAACTTATGGCCATGTTGGTGTGTAAGGGCAATGCTACTGCTGGGGCCATGCTTATCTGAGTGGCCTGCACTAACAGCTGGGTCCATGGTATTGTCTGGGCCAGGGCTGTTGCCTAGGGTTATGCCTGGATCTGTTTTAATGCCCATGACTCCTGATGCCATCGAAGGCTGTGACAATGCCAGGGGTCTGGTCAGCCACTTGAACTTACTTTAGTGTCCGAGGGCTATGCTGTAACCAGGACCATACTAATCTGGGTGACCTGTGCTGTCACTTGGAGCAATGGTAATGTTCAGGCTTGCACTGCTGCTTAGGCCATTTCTGGGTCCGTGGTCCTGCTGCAACTGGGTTCTGTGTTGATCTCCATATTACAACAGTGGGCCATAGGAAACTAGAAAGGGGCCCTAGGGAGGGGGAAATGACTTCTAAGGGAGAGAGGTGGGGAAGGTAATAGAAAACATTTGTTATGCAAGTACAAGTGAAGTTCTGGGGTGGGGAGGGCTTAAGTGGACTGGGGGCAAGAAGATCAAGTAGGGAGAGTGTCAGCCAAAACTGAGTATAAATGTTAAAGCCACAAAGAAACTTGCTACTTTGTAAGCTTATTTGAAAAAAAAAAAGTTTTTCCTGTGCTGAACATGAAAAAAGGCACGTGGTGGGAGGAGATACCAAAAACTGCTGCTTCCTTCACATCGCCTGGGGTGAGAGGCACACACTGTTCCGGAAGCATCGACAGATGAGCAAAGAACTCTTTGCTTTCATCCCTAAAACTGGGCAAAAGCTTTCTAAATGCGTTATATTTATGATTACAATGAAATGGCCTATGTAAATATCCTTCTCAATAGACCAGATCAGTCAACACACAAAGGTGATCTGTCCTGGCATTTTGCATCAAGTCTAACCTGCCCCTTTCCCTTACTGGCAGTCTCCCCTTAGAGAAGAATAAAGCAAAGTTATTATAATTTACAAGTCAGGATATTTAACAATTACAATTTTGTGAGTGACACTAAACATTCTTTTTAGATTATGTAAAATACAACAAATACACACAGATTTTAGGATAGGCAATAGACTTTCCATCAGGTTCTAAGCATTTTACATTGGGACTAGTTGTTCTACTTTGGAGCACAGTGGCTTCAGAGAATGAGAAGAAGGTAAACTGAGGCATGTAGGGAGCAACTTGCAATGTCTGCAGCACACACTGGCTATGGGACAAGGGTAGATGTAGTGTGTGTCCACCATTCCAAAGTAGGATATGTATCTGTTTTCATGGCGGTTTTCTGAGATCCTCAACACCTGGTTGAGAATAACAGTCAAACCACCTGTCTTGCCAATCCTGTGCCTACTCCCTGGCATGATTTCTGTTAGAATGTAAATACTGGTGTTTGCCACAACATGATGCCCACCACTTAAAAGTGAATGGAGGAATCAGCTCCATGGTTCCAACCACCCTTGATTTACAATTTTTTTTAATCCAAAACAAAGAAAATAGTGGAAGAACAATAAGCAAGTATATTAATTAGCAGCTAGTCTCTGTTTCTGCTTTTCCTTGTTTTGTGGTTTGGCTCTATAGCTAACTTTAGGTGATAAGATAAAAATTAAACTTGATTCTGCCTTTGCAAAGAAATATTCATGTTTTGATTTTAAAGACCCACATTTCACTAGTACCTATTCTTCAGTATTTATTCTTTATACAAACAAAGCTGTTCTGTACAACTTAATGAAGAAACTATGAGAGGAATAGTCCTGGAGGCACACACCTTTAATCCTAGCATTTTAGAAGAGGCAGGAAACGTTGGAGTTCAGTCATCCTTGGTCTTGTAGAGCACTGGAGTCAAACCTGGCTATGTGAGATCCTGTCTCAAGTGCGAATATTAAAAAATGAAAATGAAAACAAGCAAACAAATCTACCCTCACTGTTTTTGTTTTGTTTTGCCAATGAGGAGAGTTCATTCCTGACATCTTGCGAGTGTACGTATACTTCTTTTGAGGGAAGACTTGGCCTTCAGTGGAAAGGCGGCGTCTTTCACTGACTTTGATGGGATAGTCTAGTTTTGAAGAGTGAAATCCCACTGAATTGGCTTTCCAAAATGTTCTGTGGAAAGTAAGAATGAACAGATGGCAAGTCCTCACTCCCGATTGCCAAGCAGGAGACAAATTCATCAGAAAGCAGGGTCTGCTCTGGGATAGTTTCACTGGCTGAGCCACTTTCCAAAACCATGGTGGTTTCCTCCTGTCTTGAGTTTTGTATTTCAAGAGGATTGAATTCACCTTGATTTAAAACAAGGTTCAATTCATCAAGAATTAGTGTTTTGCTTAGTAAAGTCGTACTTGAAGAAGAAAATGCAAAGTTGGGGTATATTTTCAGTCTGGCAAAGCAGTCACCTGTGGCCTCAAGGGTTGTAGACTCCTCATCTCTGCTAATGAAATGGTTTTCCTCAGGGGGAGCATTTGAAATCTGGGGTTTGTAGCCAGTGTTGAGATCGGGAATATACACAACAGAAGAGCTGGTAGACAGCATTGTTAGCGGACAGTCTCTGGTCTCCAGGAGGCCCATGAGCTTTTCTTCCTTGTAACCTGTGGGCTTGTGCTCCGGGGGAGTGGTTTCACTTACCTCTGTAAGCACAGGATCCACATACAGGTCCTGCTCACTGGCAGTATTATCCTCAAGTACACTTTGTTCCTAGAAAAAAAAAAAAGACATTACATCATTTTACAAACAAAACAACCCCCCAAACAAAAACTATTCAAAGGAATCAACTGAATGATTGAGTTAGGGCTGAAAGTTTCCTTCTGCCTTGCTTTTTGCTTTGCTTTGCTTTGCCTTGTCTTGCCTTGCCTTGCCTTCTTCCCTTCCTTTCCCTTCCCTTCCCTTCCCTTCCCTTCCCTTCCCTTCCCTTCCCTTCCCTTTCATCTTCGTGTTTATTGGATGATTTCTGCCTTCTCTTTCTTTGGTGTCTTCTAAACCTTTATTCAGGCCTTCCAAAGATAGAATTAAAAATAATCCATGTTTTAAGCATATTTCTTGGCTATAACCTTTTTCAAAAGTTTTTTAGCCAGACAGTAGGGGCACATGCCTTTAATCCCAGCACTTGGGAGGCAGGAGGCAGAGGCAGGCTGATCTCTGTGAGTTTGAGGCCAGACTGGTTGACAGAGGGAATTCTAGGACAGCAAGGCCTATTACACAGAGAAACCGTGTCTTAAAAAAAATCAAAACCAAAACCAAACAAAAAAGTATTAAAAATTCTATTTATTTATTTTTATTTTATCCTGGGAACCCTTTGTTCACAGGATGTATGTCTGGGTTAAGTTGATTAGTGGTTGTGCTGACTAGTTTTATGTTAACTTGACATAGCTAGAGTCATTTTGGAAGAGTGCTGAGAAAATGTGGCCTCCAGATTGGCCTATGGACAAGTCTGTGGTGCATTTTCCTGACTGATGATTGACATAGGAGGGACTGGATCATTGTGAGCAGTGCCACCCCTGAACTGGGTGCCATAGAAAAGCAGACTGAACAAGCAAGCCATGGAAAGCAAACCAGTAAGCACCACTTCTCTGTGACCTCAGAATCAGTACTTGCCTCAAGTTCCTGCCCTGCCTTCCTTGGATAATAGACTTATAGCTGTAAGATGAAGTAAACCCTTTCCTTCCCAAATTGCTTTTAGTCTTAGTGGTTTATTCCAGCAATAGAAAGCAAATTAAGACAGTGGGCTCATCCAATGTTAAGCAGAACCATTTGTGTGTGTGTGTGTGTGTGTGTGTGTGTGTATGTGTGTGTGTCTGTTTTTACAATTAGGCCTGAACTGTCCAGATGTTGCTGGCTTCTCTGTACTTGAGTTCACATGACTCTTCTGCCTAGAACTTCTTTCAAGAAAGTCCTCATCTTCCCATATCTCCTCTCTGCCTCCATCACATTTGGGTTCATTTTCTATGGTCATTGCTGTGGTAGTACCACATGTTTCTGACCCACTAACTGGATATTGAAAATGGTGATAGATAAGCAGAATTCTGGAAACATACTTCTGACCCTTTTCTTTGTAGCTGTCAAAGCCCCCCGCCCCAATTCCCTCATTCCCAGGGTCATTCTGGGGCATACTCCTTTTTTCCTGGTTGACATAAATCATATACACTCCTGGTGACACCATCTTCCACAGTCACCCAGCAATAATATTTGCAAGGTCCATAAAGTTAAAACAATGGAATGGTACCCTCCCAAAGACTTGGGCGTCTTATAAACAATCCCCTTGGGGCCTTCAACGGATGCTTCACAGGATGGTTCTTTCCTTCCTCCTCTGCCCTGAAAACACCTAACTGTTCTTTCACCTAAGGAGGGCTTGAAATGCTACAACTTTGTCTCCACACACACACAGTAGCTATGTTTCTACTCTAACGCCCAGACCACACTTCAACTGATATTTCAATTGCAGGGATTTTGTTATTTACTATTTATTTTTAAGTTTATATGTATGTGTGATATTTGGTGCCTGAAGAGGTAAGAGGGCATTGGATCCTCTGAAACTGGAGTTAAAGATAGCTGTGAGCCACCACATGGGTGCTGAAAATTGAACCTGGGCCCTTTGCAAGAACGATAAATACTCTTAACCACTGAGCAACCTCTCCAGACCTGCTTATTTAGTTTGAAAAGGTTTCATTATGTAGTTGGCCTTGAATTTGTGATCCTCCTGCCCCAGCCTTCCCAATGCTAGTATTACTGACATACCTACCACACTGGTGTAGTAAAAAGGAGCGGCGGGCTGCATTCCTGCCGTCCGGACTCCAGCTAGCTTACACTCGAAATAATTACACGGAAACTATATTCTTTTAAACACTGCTTGGTCCATTAGTTTCAGCCTCTTATTGGTTAACTCTTACATCTTGATTAACCCATTTCTAATAATCTGTGTAGCATCTCGTGGTGGCTTACCGGGAAGGATCTTAACCTGCGTCTGTCTCAGAGAGGAGAGTCATGGCCACTGTCTGCCTCTGCTTTCTTTCTCCCACAATTCTGTTCTGTCTACTCCACCCACCTAAGGGCTGGCCTATCAAAAAGGCCAAGGCAGTCTTTTTATTAACCAATGAAAATAACAATAGACAGATGACCCTCCTCCATCATTTCCCCTTTTTCTGTTTAAACAAAAAAGAAAGACTTTCACTTTAACACAGTAAAATTGCACATAACAAAACAGTTATCAAGCAAGAATTACAGTTACAATATTTATATCTACTTTATCTTTTATCATAACTAAGGAAAACTATAACTAATCACACTGGGAACCAATCAGGTTCTCTTTAGTGCTGCTTGATTACCTGTAGCAATTTTGCAACATTACTATTTTCCATATTAGGAATATCTTCATGAAGCCACTTTGGGATCACCAGTAAGACTTTTCTTTTAATTCTAGAAGACAAAATGATACTTTAGAAGCAGCACCTTCCGCTTTCCTTCCTTCCTTCCTTCCTTCCTTCCTTCCTTCCTTCCTTCCTTCCTTCCTTCCTT